TGGAGGCGATCCCGGCAATTAGGACCTCCCTGACGACTCCAGGCTTTCACTGGAGCCGGGTTGCCACGCCGACTCCGGCCCAGAAAACAGGAGGCGTTGGAATCACTTCCGTCGCACCCCAGTACGTCATCTGCGGAGGGGGGGTGCAACAGCCGCATCCTTCTTTTTTGGCTCAGATGTCTCCTTCGTAGACATGACCGTCTCACAGAAGGAGGACACCGCCAGCCAGGACCTATCACTCTCAAGCATCTCCTCCGCAAAACTCGAAAGCGACAAGACCACTCCGTCGAAAGCCGCCATGAAGTCTTGGTGCTGCGCAGTCTATCTCGGGCACACCTCGAGGGTGTGCTGGGCCGAGTTCCCCGAAGCGCTGCACTCATGGCCGCCTACTCCCGGCTCTCTCCTGGTCGTCCTACACAGATACTACCGAAGCACCCGTGCCCGGTGACGACTCGGTCAGACGAAAAGTGAGGGGCTTGCGTTTCCGCCTCATCCAACGCTCTAGGACCGGGTGAAGCGCTGCCGTTGTGCGTCTACCGTACGGCTGCTTCGCCAGGTCCTCCCTCCACGCCCGCATTAGTCACTCCTCCCCCTGCCAACGAGCCGCTGGGATCTCCTCCGTCGAAGGGTTTTCGCCCTCCTACCGTAGACATAGGCGAACACCTCGGCGCGAACCGATGCCACAGTTTCCAAGGCGGATCGCCGGCAAGGGCAGTCACTGCGGTCCAGGAGACCGTACGGTACCCCCTAATCACCTTCACCGCAGGAGCGCTTTACGCAGACCGCAGTAAGGTTTTGGTCGGCTGCGGCGGCGGCTGCGGCTCATTGGGCAATCAGCCCAAACGGGAGCACTGCACCTTACAGGGCTATACTTGGACAAACCCCAGAGTATAGCCGCCTGCAAGCTGCGCTGGGTCCTCCGCAGTGCGGGAGGATTTTTCCAGCGCACCTGCCGTCCTTATGACCTTCGGCCCCATCTCCCTGAAATGGGGCACGAAGGTCCACCCTACGTCAAGGGTGATTCCCCGAAATTTCATGGTGGGACTCACCGTGACTGTCCCTCCTCCTATGAGGAGGGTGGCACCCGGTGGGGGTCCTTTCCGCCCAGTCCCGTGGAAGAGGAGGGCTTCGGTCTTGTTTATTCTTACCCGAAGCCTTAACCTCTCTATGCGGCTGATCACGAGGTCAGTTGGACTTGGGTGACCCAACTTTTCATGGTTATACTGACAGTTTGTGAACATATGCATGGTATAAAATTTTTTATATATTTTTTTTTGATGACGCAGGGAAACTCTTTTTACGAGCCGTCCAACCGGCCTTGGTGGGGCCGGAAGGGATGTGTGAGGCTTGGCCTGGCGGGCCCCTACTCACTAAAACCACTGCGAAAGCCATCGGCCGCTATGTCAGTGTACCCCGGATCTGTCAGCGACAGGGCACACCAGCGACTGGCCGGTCCTGGTAAAGACCGGACTTACTCCCTCGGAGAATGGGGGAGATCCCGGCAATTAGGACGACGCCGGGCTTTCAATAGAGCCGGGTTACCACGCCGACCCCAGCCCGGAACACAGGAGTGCTATTGGAGGCGTTGAATTGCCTCCGTCGCACCCCCGTATGTCGCCTGCGGAGGGAGGGAGCATCAGCCGCCCTCTCCCTTTCCCGCTCAGATGCCTCCTTCGTGGACATGACCCTCTCACAGAAGGAGGACACCGCCAGCCAGGACCTATCACTCTCGAGCATCTTCTCCACGATACTCGAGAGCGACAAGTCCACTCCGCCGAGAGCCACCACAAGGTCTTGGCGCTGCGCAGCCCATCTCGGGCACACCTCGAGGGTATGCTGGGCCGAGGTATAAAATTTTTAATCTACTCAATACTAAATAAAGACAGATTTTAGCGATTTATGCATCTGTTAACATCATCCGTTGTGATTTGTGTTTTTCTCACTCATTAACAATTTCAAATCAAATTTAACTCTAAATTCGAGAACAGATGAATTTTTATGAATTTCATTGATATTTATTTGTATATATTATTTATTTTGTTATATTTATGTTAATTTTATAATTTTTTGTCATCATTCACAAATATAGGTCACATTGAAATAACAGGCAGTCAGAGGAAATGTAGTCTTTAGAAACCTATTTGTATCATCTGCAAACATGAGAAGAAATTGGGAAAAATGTATAGATGTATGTATGTATGTGTATAATACACATTACATTTATAGGTGGATCTTGTATTTACCTCTGAGGTAAATCAGAAATCATCGAAACGAAATCACTGCAAGTATTTCCCTAAACAACCGCTTTTCTTTGTTTGATAGCATAAGAGCAAAATCATGTCATAGTTGATTATATTAATTGTAATGTGTTCATCACCACCATTTATATGAAAAACTGCATTTTGTATGCTATAAGTATAGTAGTAATAATTTATCCATCAAATTAATTAAAATAGAGTCTAACACAGTTATTCACAGATTTATATGTACTCAAACAGCTGGTGTGCATAATGCAAATACCACTTTCTCGACTGTCACATATCAAGAGATTTGTATTAGCACGTAAACTATAGCATATAATGATTATTATCTTTCTGTAAAATGAATACCGCATCCAAGATAATAAAAACCATATTAAATTAGTCGGTGGCAAATGGTTGCCTATTATAAATATAAAATATTGAATTGCATGTTTGTTAAATAAACGTTAGTAAATAATATTTGACCAACTTGGTTTTAGTATTACGGTATACGATAGGGAAACATTCTTCTGCTATAAGAATCTGGTAAATGCCACTGACGAAAAAGACTCGCTTCTCAATCATCATAATAATTATAAACTGTATTTTTATTTTCTGTAATTAGTAAAGTTTGCTCAGCTGGTCATGCAAATCTTAAACTAAAAAAATCTTATACCAGTTTATACAAAATTTATGTGGTTAATTTTCTTTGAAATGTAGGTATTATGAAAATGATAATACTTAAGTTCTAATGAATGATAGTATCTTCTATCTTCTATATATATAAAAATGGATTGCTGTTCCTTAGTCTCGCTAAAACTCGAGAACGGCTGAACCGATTTGGCTAATTTTAGTCTTGAAATACTCCTGGAAGTCCAGGGAAGGTTTAAAAGGTGAGAAAAATTGAAATAATTGCAGGGAAACCCCTAAAAACAGCCCTTTTCTATTTCCTATACAAACGTTTTTTTGACATTAGATTTGACAACTAACTAATATGTCAATCATTCTGTTTGATTGAAACAGGAAAAACCTGATTATTTATGGCTTCTAAGACGGAATAGAGTTCGCCTGGTCAGCTATACCTACATATATTACTCTTGACCAAACTAACGCGGACGAAGTCGCGGGCAAAAACTAGTATCAAATATAATTAAAAATTTAATTATATACGACTTATATTCCCATATTATACTCATATTTAAATATTTCTATTACATATTTTCAGTGGTTTATACCGATATTTGTATCTTTATAATATATCCCTAAAAATTACATTTAAATTCTACAATTAACGTTTCTACAATATCTCGTTTTCCACATGAAATATTATTCATTTAGCTGCATTATATTTGCATTGCATTAAATTTTATTAGTCCCTTTAAAAAAAAGCTTGCCTTGTTCTTTCGTTCTAATACTGTTGCAAGTTAGCATTTTTTTTTAATTATGAAAATCATCAAGATAGCATATCAAATTAATTTTAAGTAATAAACTTGTTAGTGAAGGCTATCAAAAAACACTAATTTGAAATTTCCTTAAACAAGTCAGCCAACATAAACAATTCAAGTTGTTACGAAAAATTAATGGCACGGGACGGAAGGCAGGATCGCAAATTCTGCAAGCAGGCGAAGTAAAGTTACCTCGAATATGAGATACACTACTAACATATTTATAAGAATGGATGTTTTTCTTGGATCCAAGTAGGAAAATTTTACTCCTAGCCTTCAAGAAAAACCTATTAAAGGACATCTACTAAGAATCTGACGGGATATGCAAATGTTCACATATTCATATATACAAGTCAATAAATATAGGAAAATATTTTATTCACAGTTTATACAAATAACAAAAAATAAGTACATAGGTATATTTCTATCAAGCATTGAATAAATTTTTACCAGACATACTCAATAAAATGAATGTTTGAATTGAAGATTCTTGTGAATGATATTTATAGAAATTAATTTAAAATCCAATTGATATTGGACGTATGTTATGAAATCTAGCATTAACGTTGATTACATATTTTCTAGTATTAAATTATAAACTGTTTGTTATTTATTTACTTATCTTAGAAAATATATAAAACCAAATTAATAAATTTCGCTATAAACTAATTCCTCTTACAAAAATATTTTTGTTTTAATAAATAAGTATTTGGAATATCATTGTTACTAATAGTGTAGAGGCTTTTGATATTGAAAGTAATGATAATTTATTTATGATTTTCGTATTAAAGATTAGTAGACAATTTAGGAAACTTTGAATAGTTGGTAATATTTGAATATTCGTTTGCTTTTTCTTTTATCAATTTTTCGCCTGGATTACCTAAATGTAACAAACGGATATATACTTAAGTTAACCTAATAGCTTCCTTGGTACATGGGAGATTTGTATATATAATTATATACACACACACATATATATATATATATATATATATATATATATATATATATATGTGTATATGTGTGTGTGTATGTGTGTGTGTGTGTGTGTGTGTGTGTGTGTGTGTGTGTGTGTGTGTGTGTGTGTGTGTGTGTGAGCAGCCTGTCCCAAATCAAAAATAGGATCAACTTAACCATCCATAATAGAACTAATTAGAGACGGTAATACATACATTCCTACGAGACTTTTTACAAAGTAGTAAGAATCGTAAAATGGAAGATGTTAATTGTACACAAAGGTTTTTTTATTATTTTCAGTTTTCTTATTACATTTAATGTCCGTTCTTTTGTGTTTTATTTCTTTTCTTTTGTGCAGTATTCTAGCGACAGTATGCTGGGCTTATTCTTTAGCGTCAATACATGTACTTTATCTCTGGGCGCCCTCAAGGTGGCTATAGTCATGTGGGTGTATGGAGTCCAAAAGTTTTCAACAGATATACAGTTTTGGCTTGGTTTTGAGCCTACAAGCTTCTGGCAGTATTTATGGACAGTGCTTCCATTACTCCTTACTGTAAGTGTTAGTGTTTAAATTTTATAAGAACACTAAGGTAGTTGTACAATTACTATGACCTATTTTAAAAATTTGGGTCAATTAGTATTAAATAGTAAATTAGAAAAGAAAAATGTAGATTCAATTGATTAATGAATCTGATGTGAGAACATAAAAAAGATAATTTAGAAATATATTTGTTTTCTGCAATTGTCTATGCTTAATCTGGTTATTAGTAGTTGTCCATCTATAAGCATTCAATTCATTAGAATAAATTTGTTGCGTATTCAGGTTCGTAAGCTATTTTTTTAGTACAAATTTTTGATGTATAATTACCAATGGAACATGGAAGATAACTTAAGATGTAAGTCTAGTTATCGATAACGTAATTAGCTACATTTTATGGAAGCTACGAGGAAAGTAAAGACGATTAGGAGTTTGAGAGTATAAATTTCTTGTTTTAATTTATTACATCGCCCGTCATATAGACTTACAACTTAAAATATTTACGGTCCCATTTAAAAGATTTTGTATAGTGGAGGTAGTTATAAAATATTTCCAGCTTAATGATAGTGAAATGGACAGTTTTAAGCTATAAACAAAGTAAAATGTTTGTTCTATTTATGATTATAAATTTTTTGCCGTAAATAATTTTAAATTTAATAAAAAAATTAAAAACATTAGACGGTTAAGACTTCCATTGAGGTGTAAAAAAATTTGGATAACTATATACATACTTATTTATTGTGTTAGTGTTCGGTTCTCTTAATACCCAGATACTCATCTCGAGTGGAGCTTGCAATTTTATTTTTAGCCTTGGTAAAAACCTTACCTACACTAACTAAAAAATTGTTCTTGTCTTATTAGCAAAAGAAATCCTAACCAAAAAAAATGCAAAATAAAAAAAATTCACGTGACAGTATTTCATAAATCATATTTATGGTATAATATATCCTAAGCTTACAACTATCTACGGATATCTCGCAACAATATGCCATATGCAGGTATCGGTAAAAAAGTAGCGGAAAAGCAAGTTATCGTATTTTTTTTTGTTTGTAACATGATTTTAATGTGATAAATTTTAATAAATTTACCATAATTTATATCGACTCAGTCGTAAACTTTTGAAATATTGTAAATAAATATAAATTATATAAAATATTACTTAATTTAATCTTTTTGTTGAAAAAATGAATAATGTTAAAATACGTAAAGTTAAAAATTGAGCTAATGATCCTTAGTACAAGCAATCACACCAGTTTCTTCATATTCCAAATTCTCATTTGCAATCAAATAAGATTTCTTTTTATATAAAAGTAGTTTGCACAAACATGAAGACACCCATTTTGTAAATTTGGCTATCTTGCTTTTACAATAATATAAATATATTAAATTGGAACGTTATGAGAGCCAAGTGGGTGTACTTAGTATCAAATCAATATGCTGACAGAAAGTGAGTCGAAACTCAATTAAAATGTTTTAAACAAATAAATGTTACTTGAAATGTTTCCAGACACTAATCAAATTAAATATAATTTATATACTTTGTAGTACATACGAGAATTTGGATGTTGCGTCGCCATTAATGAGTAAATTATCTAATTGCTTTTAGTAATTAAATGTTATATTTTGTTTAAAATATCATAAAATTATACTTTTTGACATTATTTGAAGTTATTTTATTACATTACATTATTTGATTATATAATTAATGTAGTTATTTCTACGTACTTTACACTACTACGAGTAGTAGTTGGTTTTGTGTATTACATGTAAATTTTGTTAACTTGAGTTACAGGGCTTTGCTTTTCAACACATCAGGGATATTTTGAATCTTAAGCAAATAGACCAAATCTATTCTGCATTGTCATGGTCTTTGTTAACGTTACTAATTGTAATCATATGCATGATAAAAGCCGTGGCGCAGTGTATTTTAAAAAATGTTAGTATTGGATTTATTTAAGTATATTTTTAAATTTTTAAATTGTCGGTTCTATTTCATAGCGGCAATAACATGTTTTGTATTTATAAATCAGAAACGAAAATATTAAAGTTTAAATACGTTAGCCTTAATACTTTCCGGTATATTTTTGTGTGTCTTAACTAACAATATCATTAATGAGTGACCAAATATGTAAAAAGTATTTCTGTAAAATTTTGCCATATTTGTTGCTCTTAAGTGTCATCGATGTCCATATTTTCAGAATTTAGCTGGCATTCTTAAAAGTAGTTATAAACACGGTCCCCCAGAGATTGAAGAAAGAAAGAAAAGAAGGTATTTTGACAAGGTTGCACAAAATAGAAAATGTAAACATAATTGCCTTATACTTGATGTGAGTACATTGTTTTGTTTCTTTCTGATATTTTTTTTTTGGATTCTTAACATGCATGGTAACTTACTTACGACCAAGTTTTTACTTCGAAGCAAAACCTGTAGGTAAACCCTCTAATGTCTACTATTTTATAAATTCATTACTTGAAGTGTAGAGGAAAGCTTAGAAACAATTAAGTGAATATTAGAAATAAAAGCAACAAAATTAATTACTGTATTGAGTAAATTTATTTACATATACAGGAAACTTTCGACTGCAATCACTTGCCGTTAACATTTAGGAGAAAATCAAACTTAAATACTGAGTCTTTGACTAATATATATGAAGCAGGACCGTCAAATGAAAGGAACAGAACATCGAGTGTTTTAGATATTACTAATATAGATGAGCAAAAATAAAATGATTTAAGAATACAATATATATTTTATTTTACAAAATACAAGTCAGTTTTGTTTATTACTACAATGTAAAATAAAATAAAATCGTATAATAAATAAAATCAAATCGTAACCGATATTCTCGTACTGAAATTTTGGGTCACTTAGTCCATCCAGTCTACAACACCACTCAGATGGTGAAAGTAAGAAAGAGATACTGTTAGGTTAAGTTTTGAGAATTTTCTTAATGTACTTTTATAATGAATACCCAAAAATTGAAAAAGCTACTAGCTACTAGCCATATAAAAAAACCTTAACAAGTATTACGCCTATTCTGTACTGGAAGCTTGAACTTTACTTGAAAATTAAAATGTATGTTTTTGGCTTCCTCAATATTAATAATATTTTTTATCAAGATTACATAGAAAATTTAAAGAAGCACCTGAGATAAATCTGCCTAAGAGAGTCCGTTTTTCAAAATACTACTGACAAAAAATTAAAACCCATATTGGTTGCGGTCTAGTATTTTAGTTTCATAAAATTCAGGTGTTTTTGTTTTAAATCCATATAATACAATTATTATTTTATTATATTCTTAAATAAAGTTGTTTACTTCAGAACCTTTCAGATTTGAAAGTATACTTCATTAGGGCGAAAGCATTATATAGGGCCCGCATCCTAGTAGGGATATAATTGGATAAGCAAAGTAATTACAAGTGCCGCTATCTGAAAGTACTTGCTTTATTCCTGTCTTTAAAATAAAACCTGTTTAGCACATAATCTTCAAATTTAAAACAGTTACAGCAAAAGTTATGAAATATACAAATTATAAAAATATAAGTCTTAGGCAATACAACTTATATTTTACATAAATATGAAGATAATTATAGATATTTTATTTATATAAAATAATTATTTATATCTCACGTACTTACATTGCACTTGTTGTACTACTTCCTTGAAAGTTTGTACTTAAAAAAAATATATATGTATATTGAGGAAAAGCTTTTGACGTCAAATTTTTTTTTCGTAAATAGAAAGTATTAGAATACAGCAAAAAATAAATACTTTGCACAATGTCTAAAGATTTGATCGATCAGTCATTTGATTCGAAGGTCGAGTATATTTCACTCGTTCAACCTTTACAAATCAATCAAAATTAGAATTTAAAAAGGTTTCAGTAAAATAATTAATCATTTATAGGAATAGCTGTAACTGAATTAAGCTATTCTAGACTGGTGTACAAATTTATTGAATCGTTTCCCACTTACAAGTTGCATGTGAACATATTATAATGTCATACATATTAAATGTATACCTAGAGACACATTCCTACGATAAATAAATGACACATAAGGACAATAAAGTATTGATATATGTATATAATAGTTTTTGCCCGCGACTTCGACTGCCTAAGTTTTAGAATTAGCAATGTATAGCTAACTAGGCGAACTTTATTCCTCCTTAAAGACAGTACATACATAAATAAGAAGATTTTGGATTTCATCATGTTATTTTTTTCTTTTTCAATGAGATAAAAACAATCCTATGTCCTTTCCCTTGTTCTCTTTCCACGGATTTTCAGCCAAGCCCGTACAGGCTTTAACACGTTCTTAAAAATAGTGTAACTAACACGACTTTCTTTTATATATATAATAATCTATTTCAATTGTTAATACCAAATATCATCTCAAAATAAATAAAAAAATGATTTGCCCGCAAAGGTAGTATTTTTAGGATGTAACATCCAACAATCGTAAGTTTATTATTTGTAACACGTAATTTTAGTAAGATTTGATGTTTATAAATCTAATTAATGTAAGTATGTATAGTTATATATTTTATGATAAGCGAAGAAGATGGTAATTAGGCACTATCCTAGTAAAAGCCTATTCACTCTTTCCTTGGAAATAAAAATACAGGCAAATCGTGTGTTAATAACTTGTTGTGTTAAGGATGAAGGGGAAAGCTTCAAAGAAGGTATACAGTGAAAAAAAAGAGACCTTCCATGTATCTGGTTGTCAAATGTAAAAAGTTCATTCAGAAGTTAAAACATGCGATTTGTGTATCATATTATGTACCCGATCCTGATTGACACTTTACGGTGGTGCATCTTGGTGACCAGTACGTCTTATTGCACGTCTTAAATATTATTTAAAAAATAAATATACACATCTTTATATCTTTATCGTGGTAATTCCACTTCATAAATAAAATTATCACCAGGATGTTAGGCGTAGGTGGCACGTGAAGCTGTTCGTTCTTTTATTTTACTTTTTTTATTTCAATGATAGCTGTAGTTTCTGTGTAA